GGGGGTTCATAGCGCTGTGAACACGCGGTAGAGGTGAGCTGCAAGTGCCGGTGTAGGGCGAGTGATATTCTTTGCCCGGCGGGGCGGATCGGGGTTGGCACCTCTCATACTCTGATGTGCCTCCCCGACCCGCCGCCATTCTGCCAAGGGGCATCACGGTCTGGGTATCCTCTCTGTGGTAAGACGCGAGAGCGCTGGGGGAAATGGGAACCCTCCGCCAACTGGGGTGTATCACTCGTTCTTGCCAAAGGTATCTTCGGTTCATTTTTGCCGTCGTGGTTCACGTAAGTCACTATGGGCTACCCTTTGACCCATGGAAAGCGAGGTTCGTTTGGCGAAAAATAATGGTCCCCTTTTTCACAGAAAGTTCTTCTAACTTTCTTTTCTTTTAGTGGAAAGTTCTTCTAACTTTCCTCTCTTTTAGTAGAAAGTTCTTCTAACTTTCTTTTTCGCCCCTTTGCTTTTTTTATTTCGTCATAGATCATAAGAGTGCAAACTTAGAAGTAGAGGTACCCTGCGGCGTTTAGAATAAGTTAAGCGTATGCGTGGGATCCTATGCAATTAGTATTAAGTTAATGTATGTGCGTGTATGTGTGTGTGATACAAGTTCTTCACTGGATTGTGGTAAAGAACTTGTATATGCGAGCCTATGAGCTATGTAGAGTTAGAACTCATTTATCCTTCTGATAAATGAGGTTGCATTTGGAGGGAGGAAGGGATTTGGAGTTAGGGTGGGTCACTATCGTAGCCACCTCCACGTGGTGTGACCTGGTAATCGGTATAGTTCTCTAAAGATTTTTTAAAAAGTCTTTAGAAAACTATACCGAGCTAAGAGCTACGAATTTTACTTAAATGAAAATTTCACTTATGTTCTAAAACCTTTTGCTTTCACTCCACCTTTTTTGGAACACGGTAAGTAAAAATTCAGGTGAGTCTTTAATTCAGTTTATTATTATTGAATAAAAGGATAACTCTGATTTTGTAAACTTTATTCAGGTTAAATTATGATGTCTGTTTAATTGAAGTCAGAGCATTGAAATCGATTTGGGTTTGTATGTACAATGTTCCCTTTCAAATTTAAGGATGCTGTTCTTTACAGTCCAGACACATTATATTTCCCAACAGGTTACGCTGTCCCGTCTTAAAATGTAAGTACAATACAAGTCTTGTATGTTAAAAACTAATATTTAGAGAACATATTCTTTACGGAAACATAATTTTCAGATTAGATCACAGATGCAGCAGGTACATCTATTACACCAAATACAACCATAAAACAACACATGAACATATTCCTGAACACTACATCTATATTCTCATAAAGAACAGAATTAGTAAATTTTTATCTGTAAAAAGTATGCTCTCAAAATGTCAGATAGTATAAATGAATGACAAAATACAATATTCTTGTCCAGAACTTATTTCATGTGTTAAAACAATGGTAAGTAAAAAGATATAAAAATATCTAACTTCGGCTATTTCCATTAACACTGGCACAACTATTTCAGATAACTTTTCCTCTGACAACTGTATTCGATTTCAAGCTCTGCAATTCTTCTCAGAACATTTAACATTACGTAGGTAATTGTTATACAGGCATTCGTTAACAACAACGAAGGTATATCATACAATTGTATAACATCATTAGCTACGATAACAGTAAACAAGATGCAACATGTGAAGCAGTAATCTGTAGTCACAAAAATATGTATGTAATTAACCCTCATAGGACTGTAACCTTTATTCGGATTGGTTTCCTGAGGTTATTTCATTTAAGTACCACTTAATTAAATTTATAATTGTCTATAAGAAGTTTCAGACGTTTCTTACTTACTGTGCAATTACTACAATTTTAATAAGTCATCAATCTTTTTCTTGTCAACCTTTTTAAGTCACCATTTGGATCAGTTTTAAAATCGGGGACTCCCCTTTTAAAGACTTACGTCATAACGCCCCCTACAATCCGAAAAAAGGTTAGGGACCGTGCGGGGTACAAAATACATTTTATTACGTGTATTACATGTATAAATTTATTAAATGCAACAGTAGGCGAATTACAACATCGAAAACGAAACTTAATTTGTTACATCTCGAAATAATTGTACTAATATTTTCTGTACTCCCACACAAAAGAAATTTCTATCCTGCAAAGAAGTAAAGAAAATTCAGTCTTTCTTTGCGTGATACATAAAAAATAAAAATTAGAGCCTGAAGAAAAAAATATATGGGTTACGCTGTACCCCGTACAGTCCTATGGTGGTTAACAAGTCGAAGTGCCTTCGCATGGTTCTTCGAAGCGTGAGCTATGATTACAACGTCAACAACTTTTATAACAGTTATCATGAACTTCAATGCAAAATTACATAATGAACGTTTAATCGACTATTGTGCGTACAACGTGATAAACGTGTGTTGCGTGTATCATGTCACTGTCATCCATAAGTATCAGTTTATTTTGTATCGAATCTTTAATAATTCATCGTATAAATTAATCATAATCTATTTCATGTTATGCTTCAGCATTTTGATGCATAGGCAGCTTTCCATGTAATGCAGACAAAAGTCTAGAGCAGTGCCCAAGAGTTTGCCCTTGTGGCAGTGGTCTTATTGCTTATGGCAACATTGTATGAGAATGTTGAAAAAGAGAAATAAAAAATGAAATGCATAAATATCTTCCTTTACTTGTTAATCGATAGACTGAAAAAATGCTCTAGACAGATGAATGAAAGTTTGAAGCATTTGGACACGAACAAGTTTTATGATTAATTCTTAATACTTATGGACATCAGTTTACAATCTTGTGCAACTTAGACTTCTGATAGTTAAGGGAAAGTGTGAGGGAAAAAATATCCTACTCTTTGCATTATTTTATATGCAAAGATATGTCTGCGTTAGGCTCTCCCTAGGTTCTCTCTTTAGGGTTTTTATTTTCTCCTTTAACCAAGAGAAGTCTATGTTATACTTGCTACATTCTGAGATAACTGTTTGATCTCATTCAGCTATATCAATAAAATTCGTGTTATACATACCCTGTATATAATTAATTTCCACTTAATAATAAAGAAGAAATAATGTTTCGCTTGATTTTATGTAGATTCACTCAATCTCCATACAAGAGTTAGTATATATTAATGGCAAATGCACCAAGTAATCACTATGGAATTATATTAGTGACATGATTGTGTATTGATATGTTCTGGATTGTTAAAGTTTTTAAACTGAGATCATTTAGTTGTATGTAAGATTCTTTCAAAAAATAATGTTGCAACTTTTTGAGATATATCTAAGTGAGATCAAACAGTTATCGCAGAGTGTATGTATTGGTATTACATGTATTATTCATACACCTTATTTCGACACAAAGATATCTTACAAAAAGTTTACAATTTTCATCTGATTATTTTTGATAGTTTGATTAATTTTGTTACAATGATTCAAGTAAAACGTTAAAGTTATTCCATGTACATATAGTAAATGAATTTATGAAAAACAAATACCGTAATTAATACATTTATTAATCGATAATGTTTTGTTCAAAGTTCAGTACATGTAGCGCTCGAAAATATTTTTGCATAAAAATTTCATACAACTTTTCAAAACTTTAGCAATATCAAGTATTTATTAAACGCTTTAACGTGTATATGTATAAGGCTCAAATGTTTGAGAAATGGTTTATGATTGAACACATTTACAGAACACAATACTAATTGGAACATAGTTACAAACTTTACAAGTGATTTAAACTTTGATATTTTTTAAAGTCTTTAAACACAAAAAATATCAGTATCTGCATACTAATGTTATACATATGTATAAAATCAATGAAAAATTTCATAAGTCTTTGAAGATCGTTATCAGGATAATGTAGATACAATTATGTGTTTAAAATCGTTTTTCCTTTTATGATTAATATTCAAGTTCTCGTTTCGTGTACTTCATTTTTTAAATAATCAACAAACCACGTTAAAATACGAAAGAGAAAACACACGCAATTCAAGAATATATTACACTGAATTTTTACGAACAAAGCTTAAAAACCACTGCATAATTTGAACTACCTCAATTTTTCTACATACACTTGTTAAAAAATATCACGTTTAATTTTGCTTCCTTTACATACACAGAGAGTTGTAAGTGATATATTATCAACACTTTTAATGCCTTCGTTAATTACAAAGTTTCAACAAATTGTTCCATTGAAAGATAAGATTAAGAACAATCTTATTGAGCTGAATCATTTTCAACAACGTTAGCTTTGGCACTGGAGCAACGTCTCTCCATTATACTGGAATGCTCAAAATAAAACTAATGACTAACACCTTCTGAATTCATAATCTAATCTTAACAAAATTTAAAAAAAGAGCTCAACTCTTAATTCCGTTTTCTTTCTTTGCTATATATGATGTACATTCAGTTTAAAAAGTCTCCCCTTCCAACAGAGAAGGCAGCAAATATTTATCTTACTTTATTTAGAAAGCCTGTCATCTAAGATGTTTCAGTTGAACAAAATTCAACTGTTATCAGAAGATAATCAGTATTATACAGAAAAAAAAACAGGAAGTCATGAAGATAAAAAGAGCACCAACTAACTAAATATTAATAAATCTATGTACAGCATCTGTATTTACTACCTTCTCCATTGAAATCATACAATGCCAAATTGTAACATAGTGTACGGAGACTATTTTGACTGAGTATAAGTCTGTTAGAACGATCTCAGCCATACCACAGATATAACCGAATGGAAGCAAACATTATTATCTAAGTATTTGGAATGTGCCACTAAATTGTCTAATCAATTACTAATACACAGAATCTTAACGCTATAGAATATGGTATCTTGCAGGTTCCTGAAACCCAATCGAAAGGATCTGCAGTTTCATCGAATAAAGTAATGGAATTTCAAGCACTGCTACGGTAAACCATATCCTATGAATATGGATCTATATCCGTTGCAACATTTTATCAATTCTATTGATATACAAAGTCTTGCACGATATCCATCGTGTCTTAAACAATGTAAGTAATTGAACATTAAATTTTGTTGCAAATTTGAACACTTTGACAGCCACTTTTTAAAACCTACTTTTTCTTCTAACTAAATAAAGCCTACTAGGATTGTACTTGTTAAGGTTTCTTAATGTACACTATAAAATTACTAATTTCCAAATTACAATTGATACAATTGCTACTCTACGTGGAAACAGAGTGAAGGATTAGAAAGCTATGTATCAAAGTCACAAGGTACGTGACAGTGGTTGTCAAAGTGTTACAGGCGATCATAATCGCAATCTAAAATAAAAATGTCAGAAAATACACGGACAATAGATATGTGGCCAAGCGTGGTCGTTAAAGATGTACATTACGTACTTTTGGTAGTCGCGTTTACCTTTTCTTTATACATATGTATCGTGCCTGTTTTGTACTTGAATCACCGCATCTTCACATGCAGCAAAAACGAGGTTATGACTCTTTGAGTTTCCCTTTCATAATCATTAGAAAATTTAGGAGGAACTTTAAAATGTTCTGTTACATACTACAATAACTTCTATGTTCGAACAAAATCATGTAACATTAAAGAAATATCTAAATTGCTACATTACAAATAAAATGAATACTTCAATTATAAGTAGATAATACTTAATTATGCAAGTATGGTGGTCTAAGTAGAAAGTAAAGAACTTTGGTGTGATAATGAATGAAAGCTAATTAGAAAAGAGAAAAGTAATAAAACTCAAATTACATACATACATTCCTGCGTTGTGCTTAGTAACCATAATACCCTCAGTTGAAATTAAATAAATAAAATAAAATAAAATAAAATAAAATCTGTTTAGTAAAATAATCGTCGATAGAATCAACGAATCCATGTTCCATTTTACTTCAACCGCACAGTTTGTTCCTTCATTTGACACGGCATAAATTTAATCGTAGTTCTCTGATTCCTGTTGAACCAGCTTGAACCGACGAGGGCTCTTAACAAACATCAGTCCATGCCCTTCTAGGGAACGAGGACCCTTTCGTTGAAGATATCTAGTTATGTAACGAGAAACCAATTGCTGTGGTCTCATCTGCCATTCATCAAGGACCTCTTTTGGTGCCAGCACCTACAAAAGTACAGTCTTAAATAATTAATATACAATAAGAACATACAGTAACTTTTTTGCAATAAGGTGATATGCAACTGAAGCTTCCCTTTATTTATCTATGCAAATCGGATTGAGGTTAAGCTCCACTAAGCTTTACTAAGCACTTAACCCTAATCAAGAGAAGCCTCTGTTGCACTCAAGTGATCCTACTTCTGCTGACATGAGAATCTGAACTACCCCATTGTTTGCCTTGCAAATATCTAATCATCCTCATTTGCCAATGTGTAACAATCATATTTGCAGATTACCTGATCTCCCTTGAGTCTATCTAGCAGTGTCACACAAACAACAGCGGACTTGATGCCCGCGTGATGAGTAAGAGCCGCAAAGGAGAGGCTTTCCATTTCTATATTCACTACTCCAGCCTCGTGCAGCTTGTTTAGGTACTCCAATTTATCATTTTCACTGAACTCGCAGAATGCACCGTCCATTCGGCCTTGTCCCTCGTAGAAGTCATAGGTGCACATGGTTTTACCGATCACGGTATCGTAAGGGTCGTCGCGATGCGCCAGGGCCTTCAAGTCGTGAGCTAGCTGTCGGTCCAGCTTTGCAGGCCTTCTTACTATTTTACCTAGCACGGGCTGCAAAATAGGTGAAGTATGTCTGGTTACTTTTTAGTAGAGTTAGACTGTCATTGCTAGATGAGTATGTGGGACTAGATGAACTTTTTGGTGGGAACTTAAATGGATAGATACTGTAGTTGACAAATAGGCTCTCCCTATGAATATACTGCATTGGAATGTGTTTTAGAAGGTTTGTGAGTTTAGGGGAACCCTATATGAAGATTCCCTCTTAGGTGGACCCATGTCCAAGGGACTCATACTTTACAGAGCCTGCATTTAGTGAAACCCCATATTTAAGGAAATGTCATAAGCTTATGGAACCCCTTATAATTAAATGGCTGGAGCATCAACGATGGCTCTGTCTACCTATCTGGCTATAAACATCTCTGCTCAGCAAGTACAGTGCCTCCATTGATTAACTGCAAAGATGTGAGGATGTTGAAACAAGCTTCGATTTTACCAGATCTAAGTAAGGCTTCAGCATGCCGTCCACTGCTTCTTCAGAGATGACTACGGTGCCGCCTTCGAGACCGATCCCTCCACACGTACCGATCCTGAAGAATATTGGATCCTTAACTTTGGCGTGGTACATCAACTTGATGACTTCGTGCAGAAGAATCCCGACAGACGGTATGCCCATTCCGTGCTAAAGAATGTAAAATGGTGAGCACATTAACATCGTGTCATTGACACTGCTTCGTTTTTCAGGCGGTTTTCTTGGAATTATACTTACGCTAATAGATAGAACGGGCCCAACTTTGTACATGGAGTAACGGTATGAATACTGACTAATGTCGAGAAGCGTCGTTCCAGCAGGAAGCTTATGGCCTATTTCTTGCATTATGTAGTGGGCGAACTGTTCCATGCGTTTAGGTGTGCCTCCCATGCACACGAACTGTAAAAAAGAGTTACAAGACGTTAACCACAATTTCCCTGGAAGACCACCCCTGTGGTTGCATTTACCACCCCTTTAAAAGAATTTGCTCTAAAAGAATTATACTGTAATTGCATTAAGTACGTAAAAATAAATCTGGAGTCCATTTAAAGCCGTTTCTGGAACATGTAATATTACACAATCGGATCTGAAGTATCAACAGCTTACTGCGACGTTAATTTTAAGGCAATCGTCTCGCAAATAGGCTCTATTTTTTAGTGGAACTGCAGGGATTATCATGTTCAATACAAAAGAATTTATCACTGATTCTCTAATTTTACATGTGCCTTTTGGAATCATAAGAGATTTTCGTACGGTTGAATCGAACGAAATGAACCACTCAATTGCTCGAATTGTTCTTCCCTTAAGTAGACGGCGCAGCTGGAAAGCGCATGTACAGTTTCCATCTAACAAACAAAATAATGGCTCGAGGTTTGCCGGTGTAGCCGAGAAATGCGCATCAAACATTCGGCTATTGTTCTATTTAGGTCATGAAATGCGGTGCTTTCTTTTTAATGGCAAAAGATACTGTCGGCATTAAACGCGTCGTGAATTACTTACATCGCAGTTTCACCGATATAACGCGCAAATTAGTTGCGATTTATCTACAAATTTCAACAGACACTTCACACTCTGCACGTGTCTAGTGACTTTCATAACTGCGTATAAATTACCTAATGTTATGATTATGGATGACGTTAGTTTGATATGTGGATCTACATATTAGCTTGCATATTTGTACACTGTGCGAAAAATTTACAATTTGGAATTTGGGGATGTAGATATTATTTTCGGGAATTTTTGGATGTAGAAAATTTTGAGGGATTAGAAATTCGTAAATTTTAGTAATCAGCGATAGCCGGCACGTGTGCGCCTCGTGGCGATAAATCAAGCTTTATAAGCTGCTCCTTCGTTGACATATTACATCAAACATACAAAGTGCAAGGACGTATGATGTAACTATTCAGTAGTTGATACCACATCGACAGAATGTACCGAACTTGTTACCAAGTTATAGATGCATTACACAGTGCCATTTCATCGATTATTCCGCAACTATTGTATTCGCTTTCGAGGTACGTAGATAGGCCTCAGACCACCTTGGCCACTTGCATAACTTATTTATCTATTGTAAATAGATTTTTAGGGTCTACTTGTACTTTAGAAATAAAGGAACAGGTGACCAGATCCTGGCCCTACGAGAAATTAACGAGCAGGGACGACACCTTGTCAGGCTTCACAAGCTACCTTCGTCCTTAGTGTATTTCTTGCCTGGGCAGTGTCTGGCCACTTGCATAACGTATGTACCTATTGTAGATAGTTCTTTAGGGTCTACTTGTACTTTAGAAATAGCTAGTCAAGTGACTAGACCCTGGCCCTACGAGAAACCCACGAGCAGGGACAACACCTTGCCAGGGTACACAAGCTACCTTCGTCCTTAGTGTATTTCTTGCCTGGGCAGTGTCTAGCCACTTGCATAACGTATGTATCTATTGTAGATAGTTCTTTAGGGTCTACTTGTTCTTTAGAAATAGCTAACCAAGTGACTAGACCCCAGCCCAACGAGAAACCCACGAGCAGAGACACCTTGCCAGGGTTCACATGCTACCTTCCTAGTGCATTTCTTGCCAGTGCAGTGTTTGGTCACCTGCATAACGTATGTATCTATTGTAGATAGTTCTTTAGGGTCTACTTATACTTTATAAACAGCTAAACAAGTGACCAGACTCCAGCCCAACGAGAAATCCATAAGTATCCTACCAAACAAGGTAAGTTACCAGGTCTCTGAATTGCCAGCAAAGTTTGAGCACCTGTCTGACTTATTTGCTTACCGTAAATGTTAAGAGCACTTCTGATCTTATAGAATAGTTATCTGAAGTAATAAAGAAAGTACAAAAGGTTTATTTACCTTGACATCTCCGAACATCTCCACAAGATCGTGCGAGCCGCTGCCAAGAGCGAGATGGTACAGGATGTCCTGATCCATGAGCTCGATATTTGGATTTCGTAGTCGTACGGAGCCATCTGAGTACCTGAAGTAAAAATCCAACAAATGAAAGACCCCGAGAAAAGCGCTATTTCCAAATTTCCTTCTTTCTATTTTATAAACGAAAGTGTATTTTTATCGCTTACAAAACGAGTCTCTATATCGTTGCTTATTGATCCCTTTAGTTAACTGTTTACGATTATAGTTTTATTTATAGTCGCATCGTGTGATTCTTGAAGAATCATATCACGTAATTGGTTCAGTGGAGCGTGAAATTTTACATCGTTAGTTTTTTTATTAATAACTTGATGAGACACCGGCCGAGCCGAAGTTTCGAAGATGACGAAGCTGTTCGAAAAATAGGGAACATTTGCTTGTGGATCTTCAAGGTATTTTAACTTTAGTCGTAAGATAAATGCATTGATATTCAGATATTTTAGAATATCTTAGATGACAAATTTTACTAGTGTTAGTAGGGGATGAGTGTTAGGGAGGATAGAGCTGGGATGGGTATTTGATGGGAACTAGGGAATTTAGGTATTGGGGTATAGGAATTTGGGAAAGTAGGGATTGGGGATTTAGGAAGTGGGATATACGGATTTGGGGAGTTAGGAAGTGGGATATAGGAATTTAGGGAATTAGGGATATGGGGATTTACGAATTTGAGGCGTTAGGGATTGGGGGATCTAGGAAGTGGGAAATTAGGGATTCGGGGAATTAGAGATATGGGGATTTAGGAATTTGAGGAATTAGGGATTTGGGGATTTAGGAAGTGGGAAATTAGAGATTCGGGGAATTAGGGATATGGGGATTTAGGAATTTGAGGAATTAAGGATTTGGAGATATAGGAAGTGGGAAATTAAAGATTCGGGGAATTAGAGATTCGGGGAATTAGAGATTCGGGGAATTAGAGATATGGGGATTTAGGAATTTGAGGAATTAGGGATTTGGGGATTTAGGAAGTGGGAAATTAGAGATTCGGGGAATTAGAGATATGGAGATATAGGAATTTGAGGAATTAGGGATTTGGGGATTTAGGAAGTAGGAAATTAGGGATTCGAGGAATTAGAGATTCGAGGAATTACGGATATGGGGATTTAGGAATTTGAGGAATTAGGTATTTGGGAATTTAGGAAGTGGGAAATTAGAGATTCGTGAATTTAGGAAATAGGATATAGAAATTCGGGAAATTAGAAGTTTGGAAATTCAGGAATGTGGATATAGGAATTTAGAGAATTAGAGACTTAGGGATTTAAGAAGTGGGATACAGGAATTTGGAAAATTAGAAATTTGGGACTTCAGGAATTTGGAAATATAGGAAGCTGGTAATATAAGAATAGAGGTACTTACCTGTTAATTTAGGATCCAATTAAGGATTGGAAAATCAGAAAAATTTAAGAAATAGGAAAAGTCAAATTTGTACCTAACTGTACCAAATGCATTTTCTTAGCTTCCAATCTTGCAACAGCGCTTCGCAAATGTTCACGCCACCCCTGGTCCAATACCCCCAACTCATCCACTTCATTAGCGTTCACGCGTCCGCTTCATTCTCACCGCGAGAGGCACGCGCATTCTGCAGTCATTGACTACGTTTCCATCGAGGGTCCAAATCGGGTCAGAGTCGGGTTAGAGTCGGGTTAGAGTTAAGTTGCCTTGCCTGTTTCCATGGGATCAGAGTTACGTTGGGGTTGGAGTTGGGTTGAACATTACCAACTGCACAAAGTCAACTACCATATTCTAACATGTAAAGCTGAGCAATATTAATTTTAGAATATCAAAATAACATACAAAAATTATTTCTCAGATTACAAGATCACCGACAAAAAGTAATAATAACCTCTTCTACACCAATTAATACAGCACGTGATACACAATGCAATTTGGATTTGTTATGTTGGCAACACGAACTCGACTCTTGTCGTTTCCACCGAACCTCAACTGAACGCTACCCTAAAATTTTGTAGGGTAGAGTTCAACTAAACCTTTGGCGTTTCCACCGTACAAGCGCTGACCCCAACTCGACTCTAACCCGACTCTGACCCGATTTGGACCCTCGATGGAAACGTAGTCATTAATGGCATCTCAGAAAAAAAACGTAACATTACATAATACCAAAGTTCCGACTATATTAAGCAAATCAAAACGCATCGATTATCCATAACCGTAATTACGCAATCTCGAAACCAATATGCGCTGTGATTAGATAAAGTTCATATACATACGTAAATATACACGTCACATCACAACATTGTGTGATCAACAATCAACAATCCTAACATTATTAACTAAAAATAAACTAAACTTACAAAAACGTGATACATGAATGAACTAACACACATACATTTAAATTACATTCGCAGAGGTTCACCTAACCCTACTTTTTAACATTTCTTTTACACCGTAACTTTGGTGTTTTGTATATTTACTCGTGTCACTTTGAAAAATGAACTCTAACCTAACCTAACCTAACCAAACCTTAGGTTTGATATATTTATGTATCTTAGAAATTCCAACGACCTCGTCTCTCCTGCAAAAAAAGCAAGGACAGCAAGACTTTTGCTGATCAAATCGAAAAAGCATTTCCTCATACATTTTTTTTAGACATTCTTTGTATAATTACACAGCTTGGTTTTGCCTCTCGATATTTTTACTTCTTATCAAGTTTTAACAGTGAAATTCTGAGACCGTGCTCCGTGACGTTCAAAAAAGTATGAGGAAATGTTAGGAATGTAGCATCGGCGAAATTGCCGTCCTTGTTTCTCTATCGCGAAACAATGCAGGAGCTAGTTCCCCGTTTTCGCAGCACGAGGCGCCCAAAGTCGGACCCTTCGGCTCGTAAAACTCACCGAATATCCCCGTTACAATTTCGTGAAATAAATGTTCGTACCTAACACTAGCGTCGTATTCAATTTTCTCGTCCTCGTATTCGGCAGGCGGCTTCAGTTGACACACGTGGTTCTCTTCGTCGAAGATCCTCGGTTCGCACGTACAAGTCGGCATATTTGATCGATCGGTATTCGCTTCTCACGACACAAAAGACGTGGCGTCCGTAAATACGTGGCCAAGAAGAATGTTAAACAACGACCGATGGTCGAAGAAAGGAACGGGTCTTGTCGAGCGAACTGGTCGAGTGATCAGCTTCTCGCGATTCAATGGAATTTCGCCAACGAATATACCCGAGTATATCTGCTAGCAGCGGTGACCAGACTCGGTCTCTGAATAGGATTCACGATGCTTCGAGGAACCTTTATACGCTCCCCCTTGATCCCGCTGACGTTTGCATCGCGTTCCCACCACACACTGATTGCCGCCAAACGATGCCAACACAAATTCGCTCGCGCCATTCGCGTGTGTTATACATAACCGGTTGCGGTTACTGGGTGCTGGCAAGTGTGTGTTCGAAAGGAACGCGGGTATGATCATTGTGGTTGTACAGCGAGCATTGATGTACCTAGGATCTTTATCTCCGGGGTTTGGACAGGTAGCTGTATGTTGGATTACCTCGCGTTACGTTGTCTTGTGCAAACACGTGGAGGGACCACCTCCACTCGATATTTATGGATTTTTGGAGTTTGTGATAGGGATTAGCGTTTGATGTAGGAATTTTCCGATTTGGAAATTTGGGGAGATAAGAGTGGAGGGACGTTGGGGGTTAGGGATATAGGTGTTTGGGGACGCAGTGGTTTAAGGACTAGGAGACTAGGGACGTGGGAGACTAGGGACGTAGGGATCTGGGGACGTGAGAGACTAGGGACGTAGGGATCTGGGGACGTGGGAGACTAGGGACGTAGGGATCTGAGGACGTAGGGATCTGGGGACGTGGGAGACTAGGGACGTAGGAGACTAGGAACGTGGGAAACTAGGGACGTAGGGATCTGAGGACGTAGGGATCTGGGGACGTGGGAGACTAGGGACGTAGGAGACTAGGAACGTGGGAAACTAGGGACGTAGGGATCTGGGGACGTGGGAGACTAGGGACGTAGGAGACTAAGGGATCTGAGGACGTAGGAATCTGGAGACGTAGGGATCTGAGGACGTAGGGATCAGGGGACGTAGGGATGTGGGGACGTGGGAGACTAGGGACGTGGGAGACTAGGGACGTAGGAGACTAGGAACGTGGGAAACTAGGGACGTAGGTGGGGACGTGGGAGACTAGGAACGTGGGAGACTAGGGACGTGGGAGACTAGGGACGTAGGGATCTGGGGACGTAGGGATCTAGGGACGAAGGGATCTGGGGACGTGGGAGACTAGGGACGTAGGAGACTAGGAACGTGGGAAACTAGGGACGTAGGGATCTGAGGACGTAGGGATCTGGGGACGTGGGAGACTAGGGACGTGGGAGACTAGGGACGTAGGGATCTGGGGACGTGGGAGGTTAGGGACGTGGGAGACTAGGGACGTAGGGATCTGGGGACGTGGGAATCTAGGGACGCAGGGGTCCAGGGACGTAGGAAACTAGGGAAGTAGGGGTCTAGGGACGTGGAAGACTAGGGAAGTAGGAGTCTAGGGACGTGGAAGGCTAGGGAAGTAGGGGTCTAAGGACGTGGAAGGCTAGGGACTTAGGGTTCTAGGCACGCAGAACACCTCTAAGGACGTAGGTGTTTAATGACATAGGGGCTAAAGGCCATATAGGTCCAGGGACGTAAGTGTTTAGGGACATAACGCTATATGGACAAATGGGTTTACTAATGTAAGGATATGAAAATAAAAAAATATAGGAATACAGGACCATAACAAGGATTCCTAAAAATCTAGAAATACATGTCTTTAAGGATATGCAGATGTAGGAACATAAAAGACGAACTTGAAGACAATAATACATACAAAGTAGCATATTTAATTAATATATTCTGCAGCTTACATGTTCAGGTCGACAACGTAATATTACACATTCCAAACACGCAAAGATGAGATTGAAATTGTAAAAATACACAAGCTAGAGCTATATATAGACAGGAATAACTTTGCTAAGATACTACATATATCAAAGTGCATCTGTTACTTTAGGATCGAACTTGTTAAGAATCATCGACATCGTTGGAATACTCGTGCAATTAAAATTTGATGGAATTAGCAATGTATTCAGAACTTGTTCCATTTATTTCATTACGAAATGTAGGTTAATATAATCAATAAAACGCTTGCTATCGCGTGGTTGCTTGACATAATATTCAAAAACTTGATGTTTGATAGTAAGTCGACATGTTTGATATTAGGAGTTTAAAGAGTTGATTAAGAAATGCGTCTCTATGTATGATAAATATTTAAAGGAACATTCTATGTACTACTGATATGTTATCTACTTGTATTTATTTGAGAAGCCATTTATCGTTTGATTCGGTGTCAGTAGCCCGTATCCAAGTTTGCTTGCAAATTTTTAACGGACGATGGAAAACAATCGATGGTCAAACTCAAATATTTAATGTTTGACGACGTGAAGCAAACAATAACCTACATTCGTATTTTTTAAGAGATAAGGTCCTCAAAGCTTTGAATCTGGAAGTTTGGTGTAAATTTAAAATTTGGGGAATTTGGGAATTTACTGAGCTCAAAATTTCTGAGATCTGATCTCAAAATTCAAGGGACTTCCAAATACAAAACTTAGAAAAACAACAATTTATAAATATAGAAATTTGGGAATCTGAAAAATGAAGAATTTAAAAATTTCAGAAATTAAAAAGTATCCGCTAATTATTCATTTTGCACAAAGTTTGAAAATAAGTTATCAGAAAATGATACTGCATGGAAAGGGATATCTGCACGACCAGTCGGATATCGATAACGCTGTTGACAATATTGCCAACCGATAACTTATCATCGGAACCGTGCAAATGACCGTCAATTCAATGATATAATATTTCCATCGCAAAATATTCTTTATTGATATTTACCGCCGTATCTGATATAACTGACCTCATATTAATGAATTTAAAAGTATCTTAATCCACGCACACACCCGCACACACAAATCCAAATACAAACTGTTCACTTCTACAATAAAAATTTATTTAATCCTTCAAAAACATTTTCAACAATCGAACAATGCGCCATTCTTGAACAGAAGCCGAGAGCCACACAGTCGCATTTAATAATTGAATATTGGGAAACATTTCTATTCAATGATTGATTTGTCTTTGTACAATGGAAGTTTAGATTGATCGACTGATCAATCAAAAACATTGATTAAGCATTCTGCGACACGAAACGTGAATAAGGCTATTATGATTGTGCATCAGAGGAGTCGGTGATATAGTGCAAGCAGAACCTCTGTATGATGGTGGAACAGCAACGGTATGGTCTGACGACGTGGCAGGAAGATAGATGTAATGGGACAGGTACGCTATGGTCTAACAATGTAGCATTAGAATGTCTGTGTCATTATGGGGTAGGAACGGTATGGTCTGATGTGGCAGTAGGAGGACTGTATCGTTATGGGACAAGTACGGTATGGTCTGACGATGTGGCAGTAGGAGGACTGTATCGTCATGGGACAAGTACGGTATGGTCTGACGACGTGGCAGTAGGAAGTCATCATCATGGAACAGGTACGGTATGGTCTGACGACGTGGCAGTAGGAAGTCATCATCATGGAACAGGTACGGTATGGTCTGACGACGTGGCAGTAGGAAGTCATCATCATGGAACAGGTACGGTATGGTCTGACGACGTGGCAGTAGGAAGTCATCATCATGGAACAGGTACGGTATGGTCTGACGACGTGGCAGTAGGAAGTCATCATCATGGGACAAGTACGGTATGGTCTAACGACGTGGCAGGAGGAGGACATCATCATGGAACAGGTACGGTATGGTCTGACGACGTGGCAGTAGGAAGTCATCATCATGGAACAGGTACGGTATGGTCTGACGACGTGGCAGTAGGAAGTCATCATCATGGAACAGGTACGGTATGGTCTGACGACGTGGCAGTAGGAAGTCATCATCATGGAACAGGTACGGTATGGTCTAACGACGTGGCACTAGCATAACTGCATCATCATAGGACAAATACGGTATGGTCTGACGATGTGGCAGTAGGAGGACTGTATCATCATGGGACAAGTACGGTATGGTCTGACGACGTGGCAGTAGGAAGTCATCATCATGGAACAGGTACGGTATGGTCTAACGACGTGGCAATAGCGTGGCTGCATCATAAAGGGACAAGTACGGTATGGTCTGACGATGTGGCAGTAGGACACCATAATAGGACTAGATCGGTATGGTCTGACGACGTGGCAGTAGAACAGCCGTATCATCTTACGGTATGGACTTACGAAGTAGCAACAGAACGGCTATATCGTTATAGGAAATGACCGCCATGGTCTAACGATCCAGCAGTAAAGTGGCCGTATCATAATGGAACAGGAGCGGTATGGTCTGACGATGTGGCAGTAGGTATCATCCTGGAAAAGGTACGGTATGGTCTGGCAATATGGTACAATGGTTGTATGATAATCGGAGAGAGACAGTATTGTCTGATTATGTGGTACAATGTCTATACGATGATCATAATGGTATGGTATGATGAGACAATATATGATCATACAGTAACAGTATAATAATAACTACAGTAGGAACAATGCATTGTAGCTCTGAACTTATACACCTCGCATGCATATCTGCATGTGTGACGTCAAAGTGTCATTTACTTTTTCCTCGAAACGAGCGAGGGAGTCATATTAATATAATAACGTTTCCGTTATATGTAGCTGCCGTGTAACGCGGCAGTCTTTTGGCATCATCAAATCATTTCATTTTATACATTTTACAATAATAACATTGTATTAATTTTTATATTTTCATCGGCTTGACAAAATTTTTAGTTCCCATTTTTTTAATTAAATTCTTACTATCGTACTTTTTAGTTTTTGCTGATTAAAACGAGACCAAACACGATATACTTTAATTGATGTGTACCTATTTCGCAGATGAAATAAGTTAAATATTAGAACTACTGTTGATGGTTCTAAAATAAAAAGATAAAATATCTCAATGCGGCCGATCACATGTTCTCAAGTGAGCAACAGCCTTAAAGTGACCTGCGTATGATCACACTGCTTCCGCGACCGACTGTCAGTTGACGTTTGGCTGCCAAACCGAACGGACGATACAGCGATACGTAACTGATTCTTACAATCATATATTTATACCAAACTAAAATCAAAGCCAAAGAAAAATTAATAAACCAGATAGAACTCTGGCACATTGATATTAAATAGAACACTGAAGTTCTGAACTGCAACGCTGTATGCACGACGCTGACCTTTTTGTTAAGTAGATTCATTCGATATTCTACTTTAGGACTAGAGACTTTTGTGCATTAACATATTGATTTCTTGCTTTATACGTGTACTTGCATCACGGCTATAAATATGCGGGATGAGTCACCGGAGTCTGTAATCTGACGGTGTCTTCCGAAATTATCGATTTTAGTAACTAATTTTTTGGCTAGTAATTATTTCGAGACATATTTTACGAGCTTACAAATTTTTAGTGTTACCGATTTATAGAGAGCAAGTTACGGATTTATGAAGTTCCTACTTTTGCAAATTTACAATCTTTCAATTTGTAAAATCATAAAATTATAAAATTGTATAATTGTAAAATCATAAAATTATAAAATTGTATAATTGTAAAATTGTAAAATCATAAAATTATAAAATTGTATAATTGTAAAATTGTAAAATTGTAAAATTTGCAAATTAACAATCATTCGATTCAACAATTAAATTAAAAAAATTAAAAATATTAAAATTCCTAAGCTTTCAAATTTTCATACTTGCAAACTTTCAATCGTTCTATAAAATAGCCTCTCACTATATTGCCGGACTGTGAAGCTGTCCGACGACAACCTTCACCCACGGCAATATAACGGGAGCATTCATCAACGAGGCTTGCCATATACGCCTGCACTTCCTTTAATTAAGAGTAGGTATAGAAAAACAAGTGTTTCCTTACTCTCCTTATTTATCCATGTTATTGAGCTTTTATGGATGGTTCTAGGTTAAGTTCTCTTTAGCTTCCTGTGTTCTGAAGACAAAAGACAAGTGGCCCCTCCCCTTGCTTCGCCCTTAATCAAGAAACCCCTACGTGGTATCTGATATCTCTTCGAAATAACATCATTCGCAATAATTCTAAATTGCCATGTAGTCCCAGAAAATACACGTTTCAATGTTTTGACCAGTGTAATTTGCATAAACTATTCGTTGTGTCAGTAATTTAATAATGCGTTGAATTTATTTAAAAAAAAAAATGATGGGAGTATTCGGTTGATTCGAATACGAGAAAATTTACGAAGGTAGAAACGAGAGCACACGCGTGTTATATCACATCGATCCGTTGCGTTGCTAACGAATAATAGCCGAGGAAACGCGCAGTCAAACTCACGTGTTTTGCTTGCGCTTTCAATAAAATTTCAACACACTCCCATCGCATTAAAGTAATCTCGAGATCTCTCAAATTTATCTTAACTCCCCCACCTCTATTTTCTTTATCGATATCGTTCAATATTTCCTTGTATTCTGACAAAATGTTATAAAATAACAAACATTATCGACGTTAAAACCGAGTTTATTTAAAAAATACCAAATATCCCAACACGTCATTCGCGAAAGAATATCGTAAAAGTCTCGCGATGACATCGCGAACAAAAGCCGTTTTCGAATGCGTCGTATTCACGAAATCAATGTTTCGGGTTACAAGTCGAATTCCTTTTACGTGCTCGTGCCGACCTCGAGCAACGGTAAATTTTTTAAACGGAAACGTGACCGAGTCATAAGCGATTTATCGTAAAAAAATTCTATGTCATCGCGTGAAACGCGTCGTAGCCAAACCCTGTTTTCCACGAGCGCGATGTCACGGAGAAAAAGCGGCGCAGGGTTGAAATTTAAACGCAGAAAATATAATTGGAAGCGACAGAAACACTCACTCGTCGATTTCCTCGTCCTCCAGAAGGAGACTCATCTTCTTTTCACTTGTGCGACTCTCTTTTACGATCACAGCACGATGCGAGCCGTTTCCTTTATTCTCTTTGTCGAAGGGGTGTAGTCCTTACGATGATCCTCCGCAGGACTACCGTCGCAAAAATGATATCGGTGGTGTACATTAAGGGCGCGCGCGCGCTTTCTCAACGTTCTAGACATCTGCCCCTCAGTAGCGACACTCTCGCCTTAATTCGCTGCGATTCCGTTTGGAAATGCACCGCTAGGCTCCCTTCCTATTGGCTTGCATTCTGACACTCACGAAATATAGGTTAGAATTCTCGCGCCACTGATTTCTAACGTGCGATCCTACCGACATCGATGAAACATTTTTCAGTGACTTCGTTTATGCAAAATATGAGAAACAATACCCCATCACAAAGCGAATTTCTTAATAAAATGAGAGTGTTTAAGAAACGTTACTGTTGCGCACTTTGGAAGTTGAATTTACGAACGCTTTTACCAAACGGTGCAACTAACATTATCTAGTGACACAAGTTAGTACTAACAAAGCAGAAAATTACATATTTCTTTAAAATTATACATTTTTACAAATTTAATGCATGCAGAAGTTAATTAAGCCAGTAAAATCAATATTAATTGCATTTTTATAAAAATGAACCCGTGGCGCCATCTCTCCGGCGAACAGGGTGAACTACACGGTTTTGAAACTGCAGTTTCATTAGTTCTCACTTCCTACCACTAGATGGCCCTAGCAGCACCATTTTCGAATTTCAAACATTTAAATTTTGAATATATAAAAACAGAACTTCCAAAATACTTTCAATTTTTTTAATATCGCTACAGTATTTAAAGTTTGAATCTAAAACGTAATTATAAAGGAATGTTAATACACATAAATTTAATGTATAAATAAATTAGAATACTGATGTAAAATCACTTTTCTGAATAATGAAGTATGAACTAAAAGTAAATTGTTTGTAATATTACATTTATTTCATTACTTAGTAATCTAATGTATTAAACAGTAAACTAATACAAAGATTTCTATTATTTCAGGTGAAAAGTTATTTTTAAGACTCGTCAGACTTTTCATAGCATCAAACAATAACATATACATACATCCTCGTAACAATTATACATTAGCAAAAACTACACATTATCTACAGTAAATAAACAAAATAGTACAACTTTAAATGTTTCTATGTTATTTTTATAATTTTATCTGGCCTAATATTTTTCCATGATGATTCTTAATTTACTTTAAATTTGACCAATATTGAATTGAACTACTTTTTAAACGATCTGAAAGATTAAAAATAATTTGCTTTTAATCATTCCATACTAGAAGTCATTGTGGTGGTAGGTGAGCTGAATTGAATAGCATCTAGCTCTTCTTTTGGCAGATTTTCTGAAAGCCAAGCATCAAATACAGGAAGATTCTTTTCAGCCCACTCTTTTTGTCCCATTCTAAAAGCTTTTTGAACCACCCTATTCGCAGGATTAAAATCTTCTGGATAATTCTCATACAATTTTTGAACCATGTCCAAGCCTTTCTGAGTGCTGAATGAAGAAACAACCAATTCTGTGATGCGGTGCCACAGTTGGTTATCATGTGAGAATTTCTGTTTGACAGTCTCCCAATTGTCTGTCAAAAAGTTGAACAATGTTGTATAACCAGCTGCTCCACCGCTGAGCGTCATAAAGATTAACTGAATATCTGAGAATAACTGAAATTCTGAACCCGTGAAGTTCCCATGCTGCTCCAAAATCGTTGCATTCAATAATCTGTAATATTATTATTAAATCTTAGTACATTAAATTAAGTAAATAAATTCCCACTTCACAAATTGTATTACCTTTCAATTTTATATGCATCTTTTGGACAGCCAGCTAAGGATTTCAAAAGATATGTACGTTCATTTTGTTTTCTCTCAGGACTAGCTCTAGGGAAATTGATGACACGCTGAAGTCCAAATTCCCATTCTTCTTCTGTGCCCCACTTAAACACCGGACAAAGGAATTCATTGGCTACCCTGCAAAATTGAAGAAGACAACTGTTTGATGATGTATTTAATGTAATAAAAATAGGAAATGCACTGCTACTAACGGATTTCCTTTGTCTGGATCTTCATCCATTATCCACTTTCTGTACTGCTTTCTTGCTTCAGCAACACAAGGTTCATATCCAGCACGACAAAGGAAGTTCTTTGCCATTCCTCTCATGTGAGTCTTCCAGGATGGTTCATTTGGTTCTTCAGTTTCCTTTAGTTCCTCATATAGAGTTTTCAACAAGGTACGTATGTATGCCTGAAATAACCAGGTTTATTAGAATTCATAAGTGCTCAAAGAAGAATATTCAATTAATTAAGTTATTTATTTTACCTCAAATTTGGGATATACATCAGACCCCTCTATACGTCTACCTACATGATCAATCATCATAAAGACTGGCTCCCAAACCACATGACTTCTCTCTTCATTTAAGAACAGAGTCATATTTAATGCAATACTAAAGCACAGCTCTCCAGAATAAGCTAAATTCCAAGAGTCATGAAGCAGCTTTGCTCTAGTCAAAACAGGAATCTTTTCACGATCTGGACCCTGCAGGTACTGTGACAGCATCTTCCAATTACAAGAATCATAGTTCACCGGAAACATTCCTGTAGGATTAATACTTTTGCTATTTTATACTGAAGTCTCTCTTATCATGGAAGAATTGTAACTGAAACTTGCAAAACATTATACCTATCTCTTCCGGATTGACAATAATGAAATGATTATCATCAGTGATGTCTGGAATCTTGAGATCCTCTGGTTTGTTTTTTTTTGTCAGCCACAAAGGACGTTGATTCTGGAAGTCTAATTTCTCTTGCGATATCATCACTATTGGTATGTCCCATTGGTAAGAAGCTTTAGGAGTCGATTCTCGAGGAGCTTCTCTCAGGTAAACTTTCTGTAATACATGTTCTTTGATAATGAAAAAGATATTGATTTTATATTAATAGTGTTTATTTATTTGACAAGGTATTAACATGAGAAGAGGGTAGGCAGACATGGACAGAGAAATTACTGACTCTCAGAATTGCTTGGTCATAATTTTAATAAAGAAAATCAGTGGCCTTTATGTTGCTGACGTATGGGATTCCCCTTGACATTTCTATATGCTCCAATGGCGCCATCTTCTGCGCCTCATATAAACAAAATGTCATAACATGACTTTCATAAGTCCTTCATACTTTCATCCACAAAAACACTATTAACGTCAGTTTATCTTGGAACTAATGTCTATTTATAAGCTCGACAATGCCCACCAAGATACCGTTTTTTATCAGTAATGGTAGTCGAATTATTTAAGTGGCCTCTATTGAGTGCTTCTATTTATATGTTAGGTGATAACACCTATGTGTCTTTGAAAACTGACGAACATGTAACTTCAGGGTCTAAGGTGCTCGTTAAAGTAATCACCAAACGATTACGGTGATGTGTAAATGCTTTTCACAATAGAGGTTATCAGCTCTAGAATTTTCATTTTGTTCCTACTCTTTTATATATGTAATTTCGTTAGAGATCAGATAGCATTTTTTTTTCTTTCAAGGGTAAAAACATTTTCATTGTACTATCGTTAAGATCAATTATCCATCCGGTTTAATCCTTATTTCCTTATACAGGGTGAGACAATAAAAGCTGCTATATGATGTGACTAGTGGCTACTGCATTATGGTAGATTTTTCTAGGGAAAATGATGAAGGAATCAAATTTCTACATTTCTACATTTTGACACTGTAAAATTTTCAATTTTTTAAATTAAATTCTAGATTCTTGAATTTATACATTCACAAATTTCTTGATTACCGTTACTTTTTAGACACACTATATGTTCTTTCACACGTTAGCATTCACAAAGGGGATTTTCTTTACTCAAAGCGTAAATACGCTTAGACTGCCATTTCCTTTGGCATTATCCGTGCGAAAATCGTGTTATCCGACCCTGAGCCAAGCAGTGCCTTTGTTCAGTGAGATTAACAATGCAGGTACACTCGGATGCAACATTAGAAGAAACCTAGATCCACAAATATCTAGATTCTTGGATCCCCAAATTTTGACATTTAATTGAAAGTCTAAATCCACAAATTACCTTAATCTCCTAATTTGGAGATCAATTTCTTAGATCCCCAAATTCCTATCACCCCAAATTCTCAACCCATTATTTTGAAAAATTGTAAAAGTCAAGTATGTCATCTTTGATTGTTATAATATTTTTTAGGAAGGTACCTACCTGGCTAAGCGTGATCGTTTTCGTTTCATAATCACGGATGACAGTGACCAACGGCACCCTGTCACGATTGGTCCACAGACCAGCGATCCTGTTGATCGTTAGACCTTCCGGTAAAATGTCGGTTCCGTTCACGGCGTCGTTTAAGCGGCTGTAGATATCGTCCGCGAAGAAGGTTCGTAGATTTCTAAGAAATTATACTATAAACTTATCGCTATGCAAATATAAATTATGTAATTGTATTTTAAAAAACAAGGTGATAAAATGACGTTAAAATGAAAGATGAAGATGGTTATCATTACAGTAATTACCCCTCCGACTCCTGACGGACGAAGTTCCGGACGCCAGTTTGGAAGAGGTCCTTGCCAAGCGTGTAGTTGAACATTCGGAACACGAGTTCAGCTGCGAAAGTTAATTAGAAGCAGTAAGTTTAAAATTAGTTTAAAATAATTAATAATGTTGTGATATACTTTTGGATGATGTGGCTTCGTCCCTCATTCCTCCAACTCTTGAGAAAGGCTCATATTTCCCGAATTCGTAGTACAGGGAATACAGCATCGTCATCGGCCATTTTCCTTCCATTTCGTCTGGATTAATCTGTAACAAATTGTGCGAGTGCAGGAGGTTTACTATAACCAGCAAAAGTATGTGTTTTAAGTTCACATGTGACATGTTCATATGGTGTCACATATCGAATGCAAAATGTTAAGCAATTACTGAATATGGTGCCTTGAACTTCTAGATTTCCAAATTTCAAGATTCCTAAATTGCTACATCCTCAAATTCGTAAATCTCCAAATAAACAGATCTCTAAGTTCATAGATCCCCAAATACCTAGATCCCTTCACATTCCCTAATCCTCATATATCCTAATCCTCACATCCCAAATACCTAGATCCTTAAATCCTCACGTCCCCAAATTCCCACATGGCCAAATACCTAGATCCCCAAATCCTCACGTTCCCAAATTCCCACATGGCCAAATCCCAAATCCTCACGTCCCCAAATCCTCACGTCCCCAAATCCTCACGTCCCCAAATCCTCACGTCCCCAAATCCTCACGTCCCCAAATCCTCACGTCCCCAAATCCTCACGTCCCCAAATCCTCACGTCCCCAAATCCTCACGTCCCCAAATCCTCACGTCCCCAAATCCTCACGTCCCCAAATCCTCACGTCCCCAAATCCTCACGTCCCCAAATCCTCACGTCCCCAAATCCTCACGTCCCCAAATCCTCACGTCCCCAAATCCTCACGTCCCCAAATCCTCACGTCCCCAAATCCTCACGTCCCCAAATCCTCACGTCCCCAAATCCTCACGTCCCCAAATCCTCACGTCCCCAAATCCTCACGTCCCCAAATCCTCACGTCCCCAAATCCTCACGTCCCCAAATCCTCACGTCCCCAAATCCTCACGTCCCCAAATCCTCACGTCCCCAAATCCTCACGTCCCCAAATCCTCACGTCCCCAAATCCTCACGTCCCCAAATCCTCACGTCCCCAAATCCTCACGTCCCCAAATCCTCACGTCCCCAAATCCTCACGTCCCCAAATCCTCACGTCCCCAAATCCTCACGTCCCCAAATCCTCACGTCCCCAAATCCTCACGTCCCCAAATCCTCACGTTCCCAAATTCCCACATGGCCAAATCCTCACGTCCCCAAATCCTCACGTCCCCAAATCCTCACGTCCCCAAATCCTCACGTCCCCAAATCCTCACATTCCCAAATCCTCACGTCCCCAAATCCCCACGTCCCCAAATCCTCCCATCCCCAAACACGTCCCCAAATCCTCACGTCCCCAAATACCTAGATCTCCAAATCCTCACGTCCCCAAATCCTCACATCCCCAAATCCTCACGTCCCCAAATCCTCACGTCCCCAAATCCTCACGTCCCCAAATCCTCACGTCCCCAAATCCTCACGTCCCCAAATCCTCAATCCCCAAATACCTAGATCCCCAAATCCCCACGTCCCTAAATCCTCACATCCCCAAATCCTCACATCCCCAAACCCCCACATTCCCAAATCCCCCAATCCTCGAATCCCTCGATCCATAAACTCTATAAATGATACGTACATCAACAGTCGTCATCGAAGCCAGAAACGAGTTGAGTGCCTTGCTGACCGGCGCATCGATCCACCGGAACGGCGTGATGTACTGTCCTATCCACTGATAAATCAGCTCGTACGCCACGTTCCAAATGGTCCCACTAGTCAAGTCGCACGACCTGCACACAACTTACATTTGAATCATCGTCACTTTCTCCCAAGTACGCGATCACTCTTTTCAGAAGGTACATACGCGAAGAACATCAAGCCCCAGTTGTCGGCTGGCTTGTCGCTGCTGGTCCAATGAGTCGCCACCAAGTCCAGCTTCGGTAGAGCAATAGAACTGTTGAAGTATTCTTGCAAATAATTCATGATCTTGACTACGCGGTCGGGGACGTCTTTCAAGGTATCCAAGTACGGCTTTGGGGCCCACACTTTGATCTGTAGCCTTCTGCCGTCCATTTCGTCCACTTCGAGCGTTGGAGAGATGCTTTCGAAGTTTGAGACTAGGAGGGCTAGTTGGTAGGTGGAGATTTTTGGGGTGGTCTCGAAGTGATCCCATTCCATATTCTCGTTTTCTTCGCTAGATGGGAAGAAAGTATTTAGGATTATTTTTTATTCAATTCTTAGGTCAGATTAGTATAGATTCCTGGATTTAGGGGGTCTAGGTCGTCCAATCATTTTAAGTCTGGTTTCCGAGTTCCTGGGAAACCGAAACCCCCGATTGCAAACTCATAGACTGCAAATGCCTATCTCACCAAATTCTGAATACACGTAGGTCTCAAATACCTGGAGACCCTCTAAGAATCATATTTTTCTGGGTTCGACCTGTGACCCTAAGTCTCGTGAAAATCTTCACATCTCCAAATCCTTACATCCTCTAATCCTTACATTCCCAAATACTCACGTCCCTAAATTCTCACATCCCCAAATACCTAGATCCCCAAATCCTCATATCCCCAAATACCTAGATCCCCAAATCCTCACGTCTCCAAATCCTCACGTCCTCAAATCCCCACGCCCCCAAATCC